ATTATAGGCAAATATATCAAAAACGGTAAAGATTTTTCGGAAAATGCGTTGATGGTCACTAGACAGTAAACAAAATCGTGACAATATCTGTGATATTATTATATATTATTATTGTGTAGTCTACGACATTATACGCCGTATATACACTCAATGTTTTGTAAACGAATCGAGGTTATAGTACTGCGCATTGACGGTTTTACTCCGCGCCTAAACTACGAAAAGTAAATTTTGTATTATAATTTTGAAATTAAACTTATACTTTGTTGATGATTAAAACATAGGTACATTCATGTAGATAATTCAAAAAAATAGATATAAGTTAAATATATTACAAGTTATTATCAAAGGACATCACGCAGAAAAAAGTACAAAAACTGCTACTGATACTGTGTATTATACCCACAAAAAGTTAGAAAAAAAAAAGAAATAATAGTCACGATATATTGTATTGTGCGTCCATATTACTATTACTTTTACCACAAAAACCGTAATATTATGTAATTCAAATTGTATTTAATTTAACAATTATTATAAATAAAAAATGTTCAATTTCCTTACGATTATTGTATTTTTTTTTAATAAACTTTGAATGTTTTATTATGACAATTTTGATTTAAAATTAATACGATTTTTCTATGTACACACAGTACGAATAATAAGAAATACTATGTAGGTACCTTTGAAATGTACCTAATGTAAGGCACATGATGTTATAGTTTTTTACACCGTTGCATACTGATATACATTCAATTTCCCCTCTACTACCTTCCTGACTTCTCACCAATAACAGTGGCTGCGCCCACGTGCTACGTATGTCAGTCTTTTTTTGTGTTTCCTCTGCGATAGTAAAAATATTATTTTATTATCGCTTTAGCTATTATTCATAATAACAGTCGCGGTGGTTTTTCGTCGTCACGCGACACTGTAGATCTCGAAACACTTCAAATATTTATTTTAATATTTAACGAAATATATCCAGATATGGTTGTTTTTTTTCTTACTAATAATATGCGTTGTTATCGCCAGGAAATAATTATACGCGCGTTTTAATTTGTTTATTCCTTCGTATTTCTCGGACGTTTAAAACAAACATCGTAATATTATATCACACATAACGGAGCGTCATTATTTTATTTATCTAATATTATTATCGACGTTGATATAGTGAAATATTGTTTTATACGCCAGATTGTCGCGTCGTCCGTTCACATCCAATTAATTTTCGAATATCGTGTGAACGTAAATCAATGGACCTTGTTTACATAAACGAATCGACCGAATTATACCCGTCGGTTGACATTACAGTAGATCCCACGTTATACAATAAAATAGCGCGTAAAAGATTTGGGAAGCGTATTATTATTATTAAATTATGAACATTTATTTTGATTGATTTAATAATTTTTTTTTTCGGCATTATTTATTTAATTTCAAAAAAAAATATCTGGGTTTCCAGACCTCTAGATCAGTGTTTCCCAACCGGTGGTCCGCGGACCATCGGTGGTTCGTGAGCCTGTCATAGGTAGTCCGCGGTCCTATAGATTTTATCTTATTTTTTTTTTTTGCTCGTTCATTAAAAAAAAAAAAGAGAATTACGAAAAAATATAGTATCCATTGTGTTCTAATTTTAATGAATATTTTTTGTTCAGGTATATTTGGTGGTAATGAGAATAGGGGATAAAGTATTTTTCACCCTCCTACCTACATTACCAACGCGAGATATTTATATATTAGAAGAAGATAAACTGCAAGTGACGATTATAAAACGATACACGCGCTATTTCACTGTCGAACTTCCCCACTTCCTGATAGGTTAGGTTAAACGTCCCTTTCTTTGAAATTAATCCTACCTCCTCCTCGAAATGAAAAATTGGTGTTTAGATATATTTGATATACAAATCATGAAAAAATTTCAAAATAGAACACATTTAGTCCACCAAAGGTGGACTACTCACATTCCCCACCTATTTGTTTTGATGAAATTTTGACATGGTCAAAACCAAAAATGAACTATCAGTAAAAAAAAAAAATAAAAATTGGCACGGGCGAAAATCTTAAGTACAATAAAGATATAATATTTACTTTATCATTATTATATATACAAATCTGAGCCGCAGCAATGCGTGGCCGGGACAGCTAGTTTTATTATACATTTTATATTATTTATCTGTTATACAAGTGTTTTAGATTCTGAAGAGAAAGAAAAATCTATTGGTTTTGAATGATGTTTATTTTTTACTTTGTGAATAATTTGTCTACTGAAATTTCGATCCGATTTTTAAGTGTAGTATTCTTTCTGAAAAGAAATCTGACTGGTGTGGTACTTTAAGGAGGTCATTATTTTATTTTCCTAGGGGTTTTCATAATAAATGGGAAAAACGGAAAAATAGGTACAATATTAAGTTAACATTGATTTATCTTTGCGTACAGATATTCATTAAATTTCCCCTCTACCTTCACAACTTCTTATCTACAAAAGTGGCTTACTCATCGTGCCAAGTATGTCTGTTTGTTTTTAGTATCGATATTTTTGGTTTGCAGTGCGTGATATTCCGTGAATATCTTTTCATGCCACCACATATAGTAACAAACAAATAATGGTAGGAAGTACCTATGTAGTATATCTATAAAAAAATTAAGTAAATTTCTTTACCAACTTATTCGTTTAAAAAAATCGAACTACTAGAAGTACCTTAATTTTTGTGAGCCCCATAAGTTGTTTTGATAAAAATTTGATGATGTTTGCAAGGGACCTAATCATATTGTTATAATATAGATACGTTGCCGGATTTGTACCATAAAATTACCGATAAGACGAAACGTTTCCATAAAGAACAACGAAATGTTATTTTTTGTCACCCTTATTTTTGTAGGTAAAACAACTACCTAATTTGATTTTTAAATAGTAACATGTATTTAAAAAGTCTATAAATCGATTGAGTATTAGTTAAAATCAATTTTAGTGTCGGCATTTTTGATTTTCGTTGATTCGTTGACGAGATATTATATTTTTATGTTTGAGTTGGAGGAGAGTAGTGGAGTGTCATTTATATGGCGATACGGCACGCGACATGTTCTAATGTACCACTACTATTTTGCATCATAATTTTTACTAATATTCCATCTATTTATGGAATTTTTAATAAAGGTTGCCATTTGAAAATCAAAAGTAAGTAGGGATTTTACCCCCGAAAATAAGGATGACAAAAAATAACACAAATATAAAATTGTAGAGCAGCTTGTTTCTTAAATTTTCTAGAAAACAAATTCTGGAAAAAGTTAATACTTTTCGAGATAATGAGCGTTCCCACTTAAATGGATCATCTGATACTTCGAGTATAGCAGTAATTGTTTCACATCATATTTTGGGTGGGTCGGTGTTCCCGATAATTGGGATTTGGGATAGTCGGTTAGAATGAGTGTAAATATTCAAAAGTTATACTTCTGGTTTTTAGGTCGAAAACAAAAGTTTTTGAAGTTGGTAGTGGTTTTAATTTTAAAATTTTAAAATTCTGCTACATCATACAAATATAGTTTAGGCACCACTGTCTAACGTATCCAATGATATCGTATAATTATTATGTTACGTTTTTACAATGGGAAAGGTGCATTACAGTCGTGGCACGCGGTAGTATTCGAAGCGACGAAAAAAAAACAAAACAATTTCCGTTATAAAGGCAAATTGTAATAATTTAAAAGAAAATTCGTAGATACTTTTATAATTTACAATATTTATTGATTTATAGATATCCGCGTACAACTATAATAAAATTGTTATATTATTTAGAAAAGACAAAACTATCGAACATTCGATAATATCGGAAAATCCGTTTTTAAAGTTAATAATATTATAATTGTTTAGTGCAGCGCAGTTAGAACTGTTCCGTAAATTGTGTTCACCCCGCCCTATCGTACCCGGCCGTGCCTGCTATAATACCGCGTCCGAGCGCCTACATAACACATGAAAAATATGTATTTCTTAATTTTTATTCTAATCATTATCAGTACAATATTTTCAAATTTTTAAAATCTGCTTACATCACTTAATATGTATTTTTTCAAAAAGACTATAGATACTTATATTGCAATTAATTTTTCATGTTTTGGTAAAAATAACTATTTATTTTATTATTTTTAAAAAATTTGAAAATGGCCATTTTGTAGTTTATTTTTCTGAAAATACTAATGTATCAACTTTTTATTTTCATCGAATTCGTGATTTTTAATAAATTTTTTTAAATTTCAGAGAAAAATAACTATAATTATTTGAAGCAGATTGAATTCGCATTTTCTAATTGATTATTATTATTACGATTAGTTGAATGTACGCTTCTTTTCTCTGAACTTAATACAATTATTAAAAATCACTAATTCAATGAAAATAGAAACGTTGACGTTGATCCGTAAAAATGTTCAGAAAAATAAACTCCATAAAATGGCGATCTTCAAATTTTCAACATTTTTTACCCAAACATAAAAAATTAAATGTAATATAAATATTTCTAGTTCTAATCCCAGTGAGTAATATAAAAAAAAAAAAAACAATTTAATTATCTTCATTACCTCCAGAGATATTACAATAAATATATCTTCGTGGGATACCCTGTAAGTGTCTTTTTGCTATCGGCCCGAAACATATACATTTATACCTACCGGATTATCGAGCCGAATAAAACATAATAATGCCATATTATAATTCGTAAATTCGATCAAGGTGCGTTGGAAACCAACCTTGAATTTGATGGTGGGAGCCAGGCCCGGATTAAGGGTTGTGGAGACCTAGAAGCTCAAATTAGTACGGGATATTCGATTAAAATGGGACAAATGAGCAAATAAAAAAATTACTTAATTTTTATATCTACTTTTGATTAGATTCATCTTAAAATTATCGAAAAGTAGTTTACGGTCATGAAAAAAAACCACACATCATATATTATTATTTACGTCTGCTCGCACAAAATAAGTTTAAAAAAAACGGAAAAATTGTCGTAATAGTTTCTCGCTGCGGAGAGGATTCGAATCTGCTCGGACATAGCCCATTAGATTTCAAGTCCAACTCCTTAACCACTCCGACACCGCAGCTGACGATAGTTGATTAAATTTTGATAGCTATTATCTAAAGTTATTATTTTTCGGATTCTCAATATTTTTAGAATCCGAACGTAGTTCATAGGCATATATTAATTTGTATTACTCTGATGTGTGATATTTATTATGTTTTGTTTGTAAACTAATTTTCTACCAGAAATATTGCTCTGGTTGTTAACTTCAATGGTAATTTCTGGTAGTGAATTTGTCCAATTGTGTTGTATTGAAAAGGTAGTTTTTCATTTACATTGAAAGATTTTTGAACAATCTGTCAGAGAAACGGATATTTGTACATAATAACAGTTTCTGTTATTTATGTGTTATAAAAAATAATCGTAGTCATGCAAATTGTACCTATTACTTTATTATTCAACACGTGGTACAATTTTAAAAATATTCCGGTGATTTTTAAGCTGTTTAATATTTATAGTTATTTAGAATGATCGATTTGTTTTTTGTTTTGATTTTTTTTGAAATCCAAAAAGAACACATAAACCGTAAGTATTGCAAGGATCCATTTAAGTGGGTACACTCATTATCTAGGAAAGTATTAAATTATGTTCAAAATTTTTTTATAGACCATTTAAGAAACAAGTAGCTATACAGTTTTACATTTTTGTTTTTTCTGTTGCTTTTATTTTTGGTGGTAAAACCACTGGTTACCTACTTTTGATGTAAGATCAAATGCATTGTTAAAAATGCTCCATTACTCTCCCTCGAGTCACGATCCAAACTTTAAAGTGAAATATCATATCAACGGTTTGACAGAAGTCGAAAACTTCAACATCGAAATTATTTTATTTTAAATAATACTCCGTCTATTTATGGAATTTTAAATATAGGTTATCATTTAAAAATCAAAAGTAGGTTATTAATCATAATGAATTCACTATAGATCTCCGTGCTTATCTATTATCGCATCTTACGCGAGCTAGTGATTTTTCCGAAGAATTTTAAGTGAATTTAATTTCTGGTTTATTATTAGATTCCGAGTTGAGCGAGGAATGTATTTGTTTTACAATGGTGTTTATTTTTAATATTTTTTTTTTTATCTATGAACAACTTTTCTACCAGTAATTTTGCTTCGATTTTCAATTATAATACTTTTTCTGAAAGGAAATCTGACTGGCATGGTACTTAAGGCAAGACATTTTTTTATTTTCCTAGTTGTTTTTATTATAAATGGGAAAAGCCGGAAAAAACGTAGGTAAAACGGAAAAATAGGTAGAAACGAATATTATTAAATAAAATATAGATTGCATAGATTTTACCATAATCATATGAGTACCTATATGACATATTATATATTGTTGAAAAAGCACCACTATCAACTGAACTCCTCTCAGAATCATTTTTCGTTAGCAATTGGTTAGTCGTTGCGTACAGATATACATATATAGATATATAAATTTCCTGTCTACCTTCCCAACTTCTCACCTACAACAGTAGCCCACCCACCGTGCGAAATAATATGTGTGCATCTTTTTTTTTCCAACCACTGCGTATAATATAATAAAAGAAATTCGATACTATGATAACGTTCTTGGATTAAAGCAATTATTTATTCCTCACTCATTAGGTATATTTAGTTATTATACATATTGATACTGAGCACGGGAGCAAATGTCTTGATAAACAACATAGTATTGTTGTGTACACATTTCACTAAACCGTAGTCGATAACAATATGTATATATAAAATAAATTATAATGTTTTAACTGTTTTAAGTATCTATGTGTGTCGTGTAAAAATTGACCACGATCGATGACGGAATAATCAAAAACAATGTCGAACGTAAAACGAATTCATTTTTTACTACGTTCAGAATCTAAAATATTTATGTTATGTATATTAATGCATATGCAGTGGCGTGGTGTGTATATAATCAACGTAAGCGTTGCTTACACTTTCAGTTTTAGAATATTATAAGTATATTTTTAAATAAACAATTCAAGTTAAAATCAAGTTCAAATAATATAAAATTTTCTTTTACATTTTGAAATAGTATTTAGAGATGATATACGAGCAATAAGCAACTTTCAAATGTGATTTAAATCGTTTTTGATAATATTCATGTTAAATAAATGGTGAGCGACTCGCTTGAGATAGGTAGTAAAAACAGATGGAGGATATAATAAGTAGGTATACAATTGTTGGTGATTGCTCACACCACTGATAACATTACGTTACGCCACTGTGCATATGTTACATTTACTAATCACGAAAAACTATAATATAGGGAATAGCTGTACATAATAAAGTATATCTACCTATATATTTACTTTTTTTTTATCGTATTCGTTAAAATAATAGGTACCTATCTATCTTGAGGGGGGGTTTTTGTGCAAAAGAAAAAACGAAAAAAATAACCCCCCCCCTAAAGAAGAAAATTGTCTTATTTTTATGTTTTTTTGGACACGTCGGACGTATAAAAAACCGTAGTCACCGGGAGCGCATATTGAAGTCGCTTTTTTTTAAATATAGAAATAGTAGCCGTGTTTGACCATGAACTGTCCAACTGTTCGACCAATTATTATATGTATCGATCTATGTTATATAAAATTATCCGTTATCGCTTCTCTTTTCTACGTCGATATCGGTGACTGTAAAAACGAAAAATTCCATTCAGCTGTCTGGAATATGTATTGAAAAGAGGGGATATGTTGTCCGCCGGCCAACTTCTAGTTTCACCCTCCTTGGTACGCACTACACCTACACGACGTGCAAGTGGTGGTTATGATTAAATTCGTTAAATCGTAATCTATTTTGTTGATACAAATACAAACCCATACGATTTTCAACATAAATTTATCAAAATAATGTATAACCAAACTCCGCTAAATGGTAAAAATGATAAAAAAAAAAAAAGTCACTTGAATTTATTAACGTTATTCGATTAATAAATGAACGTCCGATTAAACGTGATCGAATAAGTAGATTAAAAATTCCATTAAATAAAGTTCGAATAAACAATTTTTTGTATAGTACCTGTACTTAGTTTTGTGGTCAAAAATAATTGTATTCGACATTCAACCGAGTTTAAAAATAGGAAAAAATGCTCAAATTGATTTCTTTTGTATTTATCGTTTACCTATCGACAATTAGCCGGGGCAGGTTAGAGTTTTTCTTTTTCTCTTCTACTTTATCTCTAATTAATTCGTCGTGATTTTTCATCAAATTCAAATCTAAACATTTTAGTTTTTTTTTTTTTGTAGTGTCAGCGATTATTTCCCAGTATTTTTGAAAATGTTTTCGCGCATTTCTTTGCCGATGGGTTTATTTTCTGCGATTCTTGTGCCGTATAACGAGCAATATTATTTTTTTGTAGTGCGTTTGCAAAATTCCGTTTGAACTTTGAACCAGTTCAATTAGAAATAATATTATACATGTAATACGCGTGTTAACATTGTGTTAAATCGCCGGTTTGATGTTTACACAATGATTGTGAATTTAAATACTAAGACGTTATTTGTATTTTTAATCTACGCCGGATGTTTATATGTCCGATAAAACTCTGAATAACCTAAACGATTATAATTTTTTGTAGATACGCGCGCTACAATTAACTATATTTCTGATACGCAGTGTTTTAGTTACATAATAATATTTAGTATTATCAATATTGTAATAAAACAAATATGGTTTATCGAACCATCGCCACCAAGTCAGAAGAAAAACGATTAAAATAAATGACATCGTAATTTAACCGATTATAATAATTTCAATTCATACAAATTGTAACTGATACGGAATATTATTACGATAAATCATAATATAATAATGTTAATTGATTATTTTCAATTGTTAAACAATAATTGTAAGTCACGGTCTTCTGGTATATGTATACAAAATAAAACCAAAAACACCCAATACCATTTAAATGGGTACACTCATTATCTCGAAAAATATTAACTTTTTCCGGAATTTGTTTTCTAGAAAATTTAGGAAACAAGCTGCTCTACAATTTTATAATTATGTTATATTTTGTCGCTCTTATTTTTGGGTGTAAACCACTACCTACTTTTGATTTTAAAATGACAACCTGTATTGAACATTCCATAAATAGATGGAGTATTAATAAAAATAAATTTCAGCGTTGACATCCGTTGACGAGATATTCCACTTTTAAGTTTGAGTTGGAGGAGAGTAATGGAATATTAGTGTGGTGGTACGGCGCGCGGCGTTTTAATAATGCACACATTCGAGATGATGAGTACACCCACTTAAATGAATCGCTTGGTATACATAGGTATAATGTATATTATACTATAATAAGGGCATTCATCGTTTCCGGTGATTTTTTTTTTACCTAGGTGTCTAAATTATAACTACCCAGGGGCTGCCGCTAAGAGGCCGTTCTCATTAACCCTGCCGAAATTGTGTTTCTTTCAATTTTGTCTTTTTATTATTAAAGTCATCATGACATTTACGATTAAATTTTAAACTAATATAATATCCCGGATCCCCCGACATCCGCCAGGAGTTCTCAAACAATATTATATAGGAAGAAATAAATTTGCCCGAAACGAGAATCACATTTTTTCGCCGGAAACTATTATATGAATTACCTAACTAGGTCGCCAATAATAATTATAGTTAATAATAAAGATGCCATTTTATTATAGTAATAAAGTGATTTTTTTTTTTTGCGAGTTGTGGCCTGCGACTGACCGTTATCAAATAGTTCAAGGAGTGTATTAACAAATATTATTAAAAAAATGATAATACGTGTTATATAGCAGTTATGCCGGTGGTTGCCTATTCGGAATCGATTAAGGGAAATGCCATTATATTATACTATTCTGTGATATTGTGGAAAATAATTTTATTTTTTAAATATTTTAATCATATAGTCCGTATGTGTATTGAAAACCTAACATAAATCTTGGTAAAATTATTTTTATTTTTTTTAAATCGATAGAATTGTTAATACTTCAAACATTGTAATTTTAAGACTATGCACATTTAACAATAATTTCATCTGGGTGACAAC